CATGATTCTGTTAAGCACGGGGATTTTGACACTTGTGATTTAACTACTGAAAAGGGGAAAAGCCAGACAACACATCCATAGCTTTTCCCTTTTTTACTCCTCCCAAGATATGTTATCATACAAAGTTATTCTGTTACGGAATTAATAAAATTGTGAATACTTGGGCCAAATATTTCACCTGTCTGTCTCTTTCTGTCTTCAGCTGCTTGTGCCATATGCATTCTAAAGCCTTGTTGGCCCCTTGCTTATTTACATATAGCTTCATAATCTCATAAATTACTTATTTACCGTCAGTGTTTGTTTTAATTTCCATTGGCCTTCTACAGCTTGGGTTGCAGTCAATGAGTTTGATCTCTGTAGTACTTAAAAATAGAATTTGAAACACCTGAAAAGTTTTCTCAGTATGTGACTCTTCATTATGTTGTTATGCTCTAATCATAACTCCAAGGGGAAAGAGAACTGCTTTGTGGACAAAATCAAGTTTAATATTCTATTGATTAGAAATTATAGTAATTTAATGCAACTTCCACATGCAGTTTTGGGCTGCAAGCTGATGGCTTAATATGCATTCACTGATGCAACAGAACAGACAACCTAACTAAATTTGTTTCTAATTTCATGTGCACCTACAAAGAGAGCCCATAACATAGAAAAGACTAATGGAGGGCCTTTTCCCTGAAAATGCTTTTTTGCAAGTGAGTAAATATACCACTGTGTCATCTTAAGTTAGCTTGAGTGTAAGTGTGTGCAGAGTTGGGTCCAGATTCAGAGCCCTTTGCCTTTAAAAAAGCAGGGTTACTTGGGGTATGGACAAACATGCATATGTACTTTAAGAAATTAGGAACCAGTGGTGATTTGGAGTACTGTAGCAGCCCCTTAGACTTCTTTAGTCATTCATGTACTTCTAAGCAAGCAGGATTTTTGTGGTCCTAAATTTGCAGTGGCCCTGGCCCTCAGCATTACTGTTCACAATAACAGTATCCATGAAAAACATTTTTGGCTACTTTTGAAGAGAAAAGTTATCTAGTGTGGGATCCTGTGCTATATTAAAATAAAGTGTTCAGGCTTACACCAGAATTTCTAGACCTGAGTTCTATCTAGACCAGGTTGAAAATAAAAGAGGCAAAAAGAGAAGTCAAGGTTCATCGAATTGGGTAGGTAGCGTCCTGACAAACAAGTACAGAAAATGTAAGAGTTGATGAGAGCAGAGGTTATGCAAGTGTAGAGAATATAAAGTAAGAATGTGAGGACATGAATGGGTATGCAGAAGACTAGATTTTGGTGATCATTGAATGGTAGGACTGGGATGTACCACAATAGTCATCTAGCTCAATACCCTGCTTAAATGCAGGATGCAGTATTCCTAAACCATCCCAGAGAAATGGTTACTGAACCTCTTCTTGAAAATTTCCACTGAAGGAGATTTCCTCCAGCTTCCTACAGCAGCTTCTTACAGTTAGGAATTCTTTTTCTGAAATGTAATATAAAATGTCTTGATGACATTTTAAATCCATTGTATTGTGTCCTGCCCCCTGTGGCAAGAGAGAACATCTGTTCTCCCTAATCTTTTATAATAGACTTAAAGCTGTTATAATGTTTTCCTTTAATCTCCTTTTCTCCAGACTAAACATACCTGTTTCTCCCAACCTTTCTTCATAGAGCCTGCATTCCAACCCCCCTATCAACTTTGCCTTTCACTTTTGGGTCCTCTGCAGCATCTGTTTCTTTTTTTAAATGTGGAGCTCAGGACTGTGCACTGTGTCCAGGTGAGGGGTAACGTGCCAAGCAGTGTCATACCAACACATTCCATGTCCTATACACTATGCATCTATTCATTTAGCCCAAAATCACATTTCTCGTGACAGCTTTGTGCTGCTGATTCTTGAGTGTGTGATCATCAAAAAAAATCATTCTCAGCCGTACTGCTGCCCCATTCTGTACTTGTGCATTTATTTTTATTTCCCAATGTTTAGTGTCTTTTGTTGTTGTCTATAGCCCAGTTCTTCAATGCATCGAGGTCCTTTTAAATTCTAATTCCACCATCCCAGTTTTGTGCCATATTAACACTAATGGTGCAAAGGGGAGACATGGAATAAGCCAGGAAGCTGCTCGGAGGGAAACACTGACAGTGGGGAGGTGAGGTACTTCACCAGATCTTATATCTATGCCTGAAATGACTAGGATTGATCCCATTTATAAAGTCGTCTGATCTTTTACTTACTTTTAAGGTGTCTTGGGAAAACTAGTGGAAGAATTTCACTTTATTTGATATTCATTCCAGTATTTATATTTAACGTAAAACTGTCTTGTTAAATTCAAAAGTTCAACCGTTTGAGGGTGGGAGGATAGAAATTTGAGAACACAATTTGTTTTTAAGGCACTCTGAAGTTTGTTTTGTTTGTGGGTGGTTTCAAGGCTTACATTTTTATGAAATGACTATCATAACATTAAAGTAATTTATGTAGTAGAGATTTAAAAGGTATATTGCCAAACTGATTAAATTTATTTTCTCTTCAATGCAGAACAAAATTAAATAAAACCCAGGTGCTCAAATGCCAGGATTTGGTGAATCAAGATCATGTGAGTTTTCCTTTTTCTTGCTCTTCTTTTCTTCTTTGTTTACTGACGTTATAAAATGGCATATCTAAAATTTAAGCTTGTCTTCCTTCTTTGATTGAGACTGGATTTGACTAAACCTTGTTCTGTTGTCTGTGTTGGATCAGAAAAAATTAAGCATGCAGAAGCTTTTTTTTTAGCCTTTGCAAAGACCTGTGATAAAAACTTTTTCTGTGCTATATTTATTTTCCCCTGCCCCTCTCACACTTTTGTTAGAGAAATAGTGCAGACTGGAGAGGAGAAGAGAGTGGCCACTTCTGAAGAGTTGCATAGAATAAGGAATGAAAAAAGGAAATCTTTGAATATCTAAGGGCCTTGAGCTCCTTTCAAAGGTGTGCTGGGTTGGTATGCAGTGTTAGTATTGTGAGGTGTGCGAACATGATTCACAAGATTAAACCCAGAAATTTCAAGTAGAACTACATAGTGTTAAAATATATTCTGACCTGTTGTGGTCTTTGTTGCAGCAGAAAAACAGTTGTTACAATTTTTCCATAGTGGAAAAACAAGTGAAAACTAACAGCTAGCATTTTCCAAGGAATTTCTCAAAGCTAACAAGGGATTCCTCAAGGCTAAAAAAGTTGAAAACCACTGCTCTATCTAAACGCCTTGTTCCTCCATTCCATTGTGTGGCTCCTGTATGGTGTAGATCTGGGATTGGAGTGGTCCGCTATTCCTGCAGTCTGATTTGTCTCTCTTCTGAGATACTTAATTGCCCTTAGGAGGGAGGCAAAAGAAAGGAAGAAGGACAAGTATCAAACTTGTCATGTGCAGTGTTCCTAAGTGCTGTTATGATATACTTTTATGCATGAAAACCAATACATTAATGTTTACAAAATAAGGCTGAACACAGTGCATAATAACACCACCTTTGCCCTTGTTAGCAGTTCACTCTCTGCTTTTTTCCCCTTCCCTATCTTGTAAATGTAAATGACTGATTTCAGTTTAGAACCCCAGTGCCCTGCAGGTCTGTTTATAGCATCTGACAAAAGTAAGCATATAAAAGATTCAGTTTGATCTTTGTTCTATTCTTTGGTCTGCCAATGTATATAAGCTGCTCTCTCTTTGCAAACATATCTTAAGCTTATGTTTTAACCTTCAAACATATACCATCAACTTCTTGTGTAGGATTGCTGGATACCCTAGTAAGGAAAAAATGTTGACGGTGAACATCAGAAATAGCTTCGCAACATTTTGTTAACTAAACAAAGCTGGTGACAGCTGCACTTGCCACATAGATAACATTCCAGCCTCCAACTGACCCATTCATCTGTAGGGTGCTGGAAAACTGGTCTCCTCTGTCTAGAAAGCAAGAGTTTGGTGTTCTGTATGAGTACAAAACATTCATAGTTACTTTGTTTGAATCTTTTTTTTTAAGAGTTAAACATACAACTGCTTTGTATAAAAATTTGCAGGAAACTGAACAAGCAACAGATTCCAGTGAATTTGGCACAGAAACAGAAGATTGCAGGTCTGCCTGTTCAAATTCATGTAAAAGAGCCCTAGACTTAGATTAATGTGTTTGCTGCTCAAGCTTCACAGCTACATAGCACGTGTAACTTAGAATGTGGAGAAGTGAGTTAACTATTGCAACTGTACTTATTTGTGGGTACACCTGAGAAACTTTTTTTTACTGACTGGCTCACTAACCTCTTCCTCCCTTTGATCACACTGTTATGAAGAGAGTTAGCCCGAGGGTTATGGGGGAGAGAGACCATTATTCAAAGTAAAAAACAATTAACTTGCCAGTTCTGTATATAATATGAGTTGGGGGTTGAGGCTTCCTCGCTGAATTTTTGAGACAGTTCTATCATGCAAGCTTAGTGAAGTAGTAGGGCAGAGAAATATGCCGTGCTTTTCTAGGAAGGCCTCCCAGGCTGTCAAGTATAGAGGTCTTTTGGCTTGTTGGCAGCTTTTATGTGTAAAATTGGCATACTTCCTCTCTGAGGGAGGTCTTCATGCTTAGTAGATAGATGTAGAGAAGCTAAAATACTAAATCACTGAATAGAATGTGCTGTTTGCTGTTGGCAAACCTATATAGATATAGATATAAAAGAAACGTATTCCTACTGAATAGGTATTTATAGCTGTATATGCTGAACTTCTGTCTGTAAAATGGTGAAATACTACTTGGGAAGTAAAAATAATCTTGAAAGATTTTGTAGCAGCAAGAAAGTGTGTGTGTGTGCGCGCGCACGCACATGCATGCATGCACACACGCGCACGCACACGCTATATTTCTATGCATTTTGATCATACTGTAGCCAATATGTACTTTAGAGAAAGTATATGAGAGTCTGTACACTAAGGCAATCTTTAAGAGGAACTGAGGGCTGATATACTTTACAGGATGTGAATGAGGAGAATGTTAAATAAGCTGGGAGGATGGCAGGAGGGGCAGGATGGTATGAAGAGAACAAATAGGACTTAATGAGGTAGAGAGGAAAAAGGTGCAATAAGGATTTGAAGAACAAAGACAATGGGCACGTTGAGGCAAGCAAGGAGAAGGTATGTATGTTGCTACATTTTAGACAGGATGACATGGAGTTAATAATTTCTTAAGTTCTTGGAATTTAAAGTAGAGTTGGGCTGTGCAGCTGCTCCTGAGATAGTTCAGAAGACTGAAATAAATATCCAGAGGCTTTGGATTGTTGCTGGTGATGATTCAAGAGAAGCAGCAGATTTTAAGGCCTTCAGTTATTCAAAGAACAGAAGAAGAGTAATGGAGGCTGTCTCTGTATACTATGGAGAGAGGAAGTTGCTGCTCAGGAGCATGCCTCAATTTATATGATGTAACTTGCATCATGATATGGCTAGTCATAGGGTATAGCTTAATTCTGAAATCTTGTAAAGAAAACTTTCATTACTGTATATCAGACTTTCTGTGTACTAAGTATGTCACTTGCCTGTTTCAACAGGACATGTGGAGAAAAGAAGAAAAGTGAGTCATTCCACCAGCAAAAGACTGAGCACCTCTTTGTTCAGATGCACAAGGAGAGTGTTCGACTAACAGAAAGATTATTAGCTCTGGAAGAACAATCTCTTCAGAAGCTCTCTGAAATCTCATCCACTTTGTCCACCCTAGCTAGTTTTGTCATAAAAGAGGAGAATCCACAGCAGCTATCCCAACTGCAAGGAGTGCACACTCAGACTCAAAGCCAGACCTCTTAAACCCACTCCTAGTTTACCGAGATCCTAAAACTGCATTGCTTGGCCTTCAAGAAATGTTCCTCAAAGTTATGTTTAAAAAAAACAAACCCTTAATGTGTGCCTTTTAAATAGTGGAGACATGCCATGCCTGTGACTCAGCAAATCTAACTCTGAAATTGCTGTGCTAACTAACATTTGATGCTGTAAACATTACAGGAGTATCAACTTGTGGCCTTTTTCATTTGTCCACAGGCATTTTATTTACAAGTTTAGGAGCTGATTTGGCTGCTGCCTTGTTTATAATAACCCATCGAGACGAATCAATAAAATGTGAATTTATTTGAATGATAGGCCTTAAAGCATTTGACATCTACAAGATTAACTTGTATTTCTACATCCCGTTTTAAAATCATAGGAATATACTTAAATTCTGTGCTATACCTACTTCAGCCATGCACTAAATAGCTAAGTTGTCATGTCAAAGGAAATGTAGAAGTATTGCCTTGCCAATCCCTTTCCATCTAACTAGAAATATTAACTCTTTCAGAGTTCAGTTTAATATGCATAGTGTTTGGCATAATGAAAACCCATAGTCCTGCATTTTCTGTTAAATGGGGCCAGATTCTATTTCAGAGTCTGCCAAAGGGGAAAGTGTGTCACTTTTAGGCATTTTACATAAAACCTGTTTCTCTGTTACAGAAGGGGTGGAAACAAATTCCAAAGAATATGTGGCTGATGTAGAACTGTCAGAAGAGATCCCTGGAGGCCTTCCCCCTCCCACCTCATCATACAGGCAAGCCAGAGAATTGGCTTCCTAAATAAACTGAAAAAACAACAGAAAAATATACAATACTGACAGTTATGTGGGCTGTTCTCTGACATTTTTATTTGACTGCAGGTCATCTGCAGCACTTCTGTATTGCAAACAACCCATCCAGAGAACTAGGACTACCCCAGCATTGGGCCATCAGTAACCAGCCTCATACTCTTTACGCACAAGTCTCCAACAGGGTTTCTCCGCTGTTACACAGAGAGAAATTGGTGATATTTGAGCTACCACAAGATCTGACTTACTCCCATTTAAAAGTAAAAGTGAGCCTGCTTACAGTTTTCTTGTTTCTTCAGGGGACCAGGAGAGTTGGGGAAGAGGATTAATAAATTTGATGGATTTTGATGAAATTTTTATTATATTATAGGACCTGGATATGGGGTCCCTGAACATTATTACATAGGTACATTAAAGAAGCATCCTTGCAGGGCTGGCAGACAGCTTTTGGGGCTTCACTTCTGTGTTTGCTGTTGAGACTGTAGAGGCAGTGCGCAGGCAAATAGGAAGCAGATCTCCTGGAAAAAAAAAAACTGCCAAGAGATCATGGCTGAGGGAACCAGAACCTGCCAGGGGTCTTCAGTGGCAAGTATGGAGGCTGCAGGGTAAGACTGAAGTAGTCCAGAGGATAGTGTAGAATTGCAAAAAGGAGTGGGTAATTTTTACTGACAGATGGTCTCAGGTCTACCTACCTTGTCCCCACCCAATAAGTCTGCAGATACTGATGCCACCAGTTAGTAGAGATATGAGGTGATACCAGGTATGTGCGGTTTGTAGAACCACTGTTTATACTAACAGAACAGTTGGGCACTACCCATGAGAAACCTGAGCACATCATTGTGCTCCTATTCCTAGTGCTTCATCTCTGTGAGGCATGACCAGAAACTCCCAGCAAGCTTCTAAAAGAAAGTGGGGGGAGTGAATACTCTCCTATACAGCTCTTTCATATAATGGAGTAAAGGAAATGAATCTGCAAGACAGCACCTTCCCTAATGGAGCATGCAGAGGTAAAAAAAAAACAGAACAAAACTGACACCTCTCTCCCTTGGCCTGGAAGGAGTTGGATTCATAGATGGGCTTATCACTAAGTAGGCTTGCAGGCTTCTGGAAGAATGATTGTAGGAAGGAGGGAAGATACAAAAACCTGGTGCAACAACTGTGGAAGAAATGGTGGTGGACGGGTCTTTTTCGACCTGGAGGGATGCAGACAGTGGGGTTCCCCAGGGCTCAGTCCTTGGGCCTGCACTGTTCAACATCTTCATCAGCGACTTGGACAAGGGGGTGAAAAGCACCTTGTTCAAATTCGTGGATGACACTAAGACGTAGGGAGAAGTGGGCATGCTGGAGGAGAGGGACAGGCTGCAACTAGATCTGGACAGGTTACAGGGGTGGGTGGATGAGAATTGGATGGGATTCAACACTGACAAGTGCAAGGTGCTGCACATGGGGAGGAAGAACCAGCACCATACCTACAGGCTGGGGAACTCCCTTCTCGTCAGTGCAGAGGCAGAAAAGGATCTTGGAGTCATCATTGATGCCAAGATGAACATGGGCCGGCAGTGTG